AGTCTGGCGTCTGGCCAAACCAGCAACAGAGACCATGAAGACAAACACATGCATGTGTATTGTGTTGCTCTACATCAGTCCTCTGTACTGTCCTCTACACTGCTCCATAGACTACACAGGGACAGCATCAGAAGGACCTGATGAGTATGTCCACACGGCCTGTGGAGATACTCCAAAAAAATGTTACGCGCAGAGAGCGTGCAGTAAACGCGTACGCGCTGTTAACGCCTACTGTGGACATTCCCCGTTAGACTCGAAAGTGTGGTCCCCTCTTAAAGTCAAAATGTGACTCACTGAAGCCTTTCTTGCAAGTAGATAAATGATTTCTAGGAATAGCCATTTACACCATTATACTTCATAATACCCCTACTTGGGGACACGTGTGAGTTTAGATATACAGACACACATTCTCATAATACCCCTGCTACGTTCACACGCGCTGCGACACACGGCTTTAGCTTGTTAGCGCATGCTAGCAGGTGCAGCTATAAGGCCATAATGATTACCCACTCTCCCCGCATTGAAACTTGGCTGCAGATTAAAGCCTATGGGGCCTACAATGTCGCCTTACAACATGCAGACAGCGGATTAAGCCGTGGTAGCCATGGGTGGCAGTCAGGGGTAGTAGCGGGTGCAGCTAACAAGGTAAAACGTGGTAGCGGGTGCAGCTAACAAGGTAAAACGTGGTAGCGGGTGCAGCTAACAAGGTAAAACGTGGTAGCGGGTGCAGCTAACAAGGTAAAACATGGTAGCGGATGGTTGCAGCTAAGGCAACGCATGGTAGCAAGTACAGTTAACCAAGCAACGTGCGCTATTCGCTAAACAAAGTACTTTTTCGGAAACGCCAGCACAGGTTGCGCAGCTTGATTGCGAGCACAGGGCTATAGGGTTAGGGTTAGCTAACCTCGAGCTTAAACTCGGCCGCAGAATATAAGCTGTGAGGAATAAGATCCCACCTTTATAAAACATACAGACAACTTCAGGCCTAGTCGGTCGACACATGTGTAAAAACGTTTTACTAACCAGACCACAATATAACATTTTAGCATAACCGGTTCATACCAGAGTTCCGGCAAAAAGTAGTTCCTGTTTCTTTTATGCACTACCAATCTCCGCGAAAACAGAACTAGTACCACAGAGGAACAATCAACGATCCACCCCATCATTATAAAGCTCATGACCATAGGTAAGTAAGCAAGTAAGTACATTTTATTTATAGAGCACCTTTCACAGATAAAAATCAAGAAATTAACCAAAAGCTGCCCTAAAAAGAAGTGTCTTTAGTCCCTTTTAAAAAGCATCGGCAGAGGTGAGGGAGGGAACGAAGATTGACCGGTAAATCGAGAGCTTTGCCTTTCGGCTCAGCTCCCTCTTTACCACAACGGTCCGATACAGCTCTGACTGCAGACGCTGCTCCCTCTTCACCACAACGGTCCGATACAGCTCTGACTGCAGACGCTGCTCCCTCTTTACCACAACGGTCCGATACAGCTCTGACTGCAGACGCTGCTCCCTCTTTACCACAACGGTCCGATACAGCTCTGACTGCAGACGCTGCTCCCTCTTTACCACAACGGTCCGATACAGCTCTGACTGCAGACGCTGCTCCCTCTTTACCACAACGGTCCGATACAGCTCTGACTGCAGACGCTGCTCCCTCTTTACCACAACGGTCCGATACAGCTCTGACTGCAGACGCTGCCCCCTCTTCACCACAACGGTCCGATACAGCTCTGACTGCAGACGCTGCTCCCTCTTTACCACAACGGTCCGATACAGCTCTGACTGCAGACGCTGCCCCCTCTTCACCACAACGGTCCGATACAGCTCTGACTGCAGACGCTGCTCCCTCTTTACCACAACGGTCCGATACAGCTCTGACTGCAGACGCTGCTCCCTCTTTACCACAACGGTCCGATACAGCTCTGACTGCAGACGCTGCTCCCTCTTTACCACAACGGTCCGATACAGCTCTGACTGCAGACGCTGCTCCCTCTTTACCACAACGGTCCGATACAGCTCTGACTGCAGACGCTGCTCCCTCTTTACCGCAACGGTCCGATACAGCTCTGACTGCAGACGCTGCTCCCTCTTCACCACAACGGTCCGATACAGCTCTGACTGCAGACGCTGCTCCCTCTTCACCACAACGGTCCGATACAGCTCTGACTGCAGACGCTGCTCCCTCTTTACCACAACGGTCCGATACAGCTCTGACTGCAGACGCTGCTCCCTCTTTACCACAACGGTCCGATACAGCTCTGACTGCAGACGCTGCTCCCTCTTTACCACAACGGTCCGATACAGCTCTGACTGCAGACGCTGCCCCCTCTTCACCACAACGGTCCGATACAGCTCTGACTGCAGACGCTGCTCCCTCTTTACCACAACGGTCCGATACAGCTCTGACTGCAGACACTGCTCCCTCTTTACCACAACGGTCCGATACAGCTCTGACTGCAGACGCTGCTCCCTCTTTACCACAACGGTCCGATACAGCTCTGACTGCAGACGCTGCTCCCTCTTTACCACAACGGTCCGATACATGTCTAGTGTGTGTGTGAATGGTTGGTGGTGGTGGGAGGGGCCGATGGCACAGACTGGTTGCCTCGCTTTTGACAGTTTGCCCCAGGGCAGCTGTGGCTACAGTAGTAGTTTATCACCACCAATGCAGTATTATTATTATTATTATCATTAATAAATGCTTCTGATGCCCATATTCTAATATACTTTAAAGCTAAAAGTTTAGAGTTGAATTTAATAAGCATGATGTGCAGTTACAAAGACGACTGCACCAGATGTTCTTCTTTCCGTCTGTGTCCTTCACAATCATAAAACATACAAAATAAAATACAGTTAAAAAGTGAAAGTTACTAACACTCCTTACATTTGTTTAAAATCACAAGATTGATCGAACCGACTCAAAAGTAACAGGTCTCTTACTGGTAACAGCTGTAACAGTAGGTAATGTGATTTAAGGCGTGTCATTAGTGGCTCCTGAAATGAATTTACACTTTTATAAACTTGCAGCAGTGATGCACTAAAGACACTATACTTTGACCTTAAACATGTTTACACATTTACTGTCTTTTTGCACAAACTGAGTCATTCTATTTATGCCAAAGGTGACATTTCTTATTATTGTGAGATCAATACACTTTATCTTATTTCATTCTAAATTCTTTGGGGTTTACAGAGAACCATGACTCTGTGTTAGATTCATATATATACTCTACATGTTTGTGTATGTATTTGAGTATAGGGTGATAGTCGCTCAGTTGGTAGAGCATCTCCTGTCCACAAACTGGCCCGACCTAATCCTCAATAAGATGAAAATGTTACTGTCGTTCACAAATATATATTACTTATGCAACAAAAAGTTAGGAACCCCAGCTTTAAGTTTGGCAGATTAAACAGACACACACCTGTTTTTTAATGAATTTTATTATGATCTTTAATACACCAGTTTCAGATTTGGTTTTCACATTGGTACAACTTGTTCTTATGGATCTCACAATATCTTTGGTGTATTTTATGGATGTTTATAGTTCCGTTCAAAATAGAAACAAAAATACAAATGGATGAGAAACCAATGGCCTTAAAGATAAATCATTAAAACAGAAACAAGAAAACTATACATTCCAAGAGTCTCAAAAAAACACAACCTTCAAATATTTGGTCATTACAAATATTTTCTAAAATGTTACGAGTCATAAACCTAGAGCTGTGGAAAATGTAAAGTATCTCTGTCGACAAAAGGTTGGAGACCTCTGCACAACATCACAACATTATTGAATTTGACAAAGAAAGAACTCAGAATAACATGATCCGTGACTTAAAAACTAAAAATGTAAATGAAAAAGTAAGAACATTTGAATACATTTTGTTAAACAGCAGAAGTATTGTGTAGATAGTAAAAGTAATATCTCACAGCAGGTTAAAATACTCTATCTTGGCCAAACAAGAGGATTTTAAAATACACCCACTGACGTCTGCTGTTGTTGTGTCACTGGGCAAGACACTTCACCCACTGCCCCCACCACCTGCAGGGGGATCAGGGGTGGCAGTTCTGATTGACACCCCCCCAACCCAGAAATGGATGAAGGAGATGAATATGGATGGATAGTCATTAATCCCAGTTTGTTTTGTTCTGGTTTTATTAAGTTCAACTGTCTATGATTTTCTTTTTTATATGATTACAAACATTATCAATAAGAGTGACAAGTACCTTAAATCAAACACCCAACAAGGATTACAAAAAGGTAGTTTCAACAGGTGCCTCAGACTTATTTTCTCTGTGCTTTATTTTAATTTCTATATTTTCATGATCCTTTCCCGACGTGAAGCAGGTGTTTTATCTAAGTAAGTAAGTAAGTAAGTAAGCTTTATTTATATACCGCCTTTCACAGACCAGAGTTTACAATTGTTATTTTTTGGGCACTTGTCCTCTCACTCCACACAGAGATGGGAGCGGGGTCGCCGAACAGGAGGCGCATGCTAGACCTATTGTACATATTTTTAGTGGTAGGGGAAACCGGAGTACCCGGAGGAAACCTACGCAGACACAGGGAGAACATGCAAACTCCACTCAGAAAGGCCCTGGTCCGGCCGGGATTCGAACCCAGGACCTTCTTGCTGAGAGGCGAGAGTGCTATCCACTCAGCCACCGTGCCGCCACACATCTGAGTTGTTAGAATTCTGCTGAACACTGCTCGTCTTGATTCCAAACGATGCATCGATGCTTTGTTTGGCCTTCTCTTTGTCGAGTGACTTCCACGTTTCTGGGATATCTGCAGGCTTTGCTTTGTAAACGTTTGCAAACTCATCGTTAAACTTTGTCAACACATACTTCCAGAAGTCTGATGCCTCGAGGCTGACGTCTGGTGCTATTTTCCAGTTGGGATAGATTTCTCTGTAGTCTTTGTAAGGGTGATAATTGCCTTTTGTAGCAGCACTTTTGAATCTTGTATCACTGTCTATTTTTGATGAGCATATATCAGTTATAAGTATTTCAGATGAAACAAATCTGTAAGCACCAAAAGCTTGAGGCCGATGCAGTGAGGCCCAGTGCTCTGTGTGACCACCTCCACCTGCGTCACATGGAGCTTTACAGAAGGGGCACAGCTCACCACAGCCAATCACTCCGGTGAAGAGTTCATTCTGAGGCTTCACATGAAGGTTTTCAAGTTTATTTTTTATGTTCATGCTTATTGTCTTTGAAAGGGACTGTCCCATCTCATTAACACTTCTAATCAGGCAATGGGAAAACGTTTCTGTGTCCGCATTGTTCAGGACCATGAAAGTATCCAGAGCTTCTTTCGAAATTACTAATCTGTCGTTCAGCTCTTTGCAGATGTCTTTAACAAATAATTTTATGTTTTCACTGGTTCCATCTTTAGCTTTGTTCACTGCTTCAGTTATGCTGCGGACACAAGACTGAATTTGTTTTTTCTCAAACTCTAATATCTCTGATGAATGTGAGTAGATCTTAGTGAGAATCCAATCTTTCACATAGTTCTCGTAGTTTTTGGTATATTCAAGGTATAGCTTAAAGCTGTCCTGTTCCAGCAGGTCCAACAGGACAGCGTGTTGGAAAACAACACGTGTGCTGAACTCTTCACACGTCAGCATTTTATCAACGATATCAAGACCCAGAGAGCGGTTGACAGAGTCTTTTACCGCAGCTTTCAGGCATCGCTCAGTGAACTCCTCTGCTTTCTTTTGACACTGGTCTCGTTCATGAAACAAGTCTTTGAAATCTGCACAGAACTTGGCTTTGTTTTTATTCAGACAGACGTAAGGATCATTTTCACTGAGAAAATCTCTTTGTAATTTCTCAAACTGTCTGGCAGCATTTGCACAGATGTGTTGTTTCAGAGGAACCTCCATCTTAAACTCATCTTTGTGAAGATGGTGATCTATGCAGTGAAGAATCTCATGGATGTTGGTTTCATGGTAGTTGTTTTTTCTCTGAACTTTTTCAGTCACTATCCCTTGACATTCTGAAATTATTTTTTCTGCTAATTGATTAGCTTTTTTAACAGGATCTTCCAAATTCAATAATTTTTGGATCTTACTGACACCTTTTTTCCATATCCCGAAACTACATTTAAATGGTTCCAGCCCACATTCTTTCAGACTCTTTTTTCTTAATTCTTCATATGTTACACCTTTGTTTTTCAGGTTCTGTCTGAGGTAATATTCCACTTCTTTGAATATATCTAGAGGCTTTTGTTTAAAGAATTCAAGTTCATTAAGGGCTTTTGTCCACATCTCTTCAAATTCTCTGTTGAGATCTTGATCCGTCATCTTAGTTTGTCTCTTTTTACAATCCTCAATCAGTTTTCGAACCCTGACTTCTATTTCCTTTGCGTGTTTCTCCTTTACTCTGTCCAACTCTGCCTGCCCTCGTGTCATGTCTGCTGTTGCAGTGAGCTCACTTAATACTTTATCTTGTAATTTTTTTCCTAGTCCTTTGATAAAGAGTTCAAACTCCTGCTTGTATCCTTCTATAAGCGAAACATGTTCCTTTTGTTTGAAGTACTGTGCCAGGTTATTAAGAAGCTTTGTTTCCCACGTTTCTACTTCTGTGGTTGCTTCAGTTTTCAACTCTGTAAGAAGTTCTTTTATATCTTTGTAATCCTCATCAGCAGCAGCAGTTTCAACATTTTTTATTCTTGTCTCAGCATTTGCACTCCATGAGTACATGGCCTTCTTAAACTCCCATTCCCATTTGTTGTATTCTGTGCACAGTCTCATGTATGCATCAGCCACAAGGCTGTTTCTGAAGCTGAAGATGAAGTTTTCATGCTTCACTGCGTTCCACAGACTTTTGATCCACTCACGAAACCCCAATATATCAGTGACAGATGATCTACATTTTTCCAAATTGAGCACAGCATTGTTCCTGAGTTCTTGGACTGCTTCACTGTATCCTACATTGACTGGGGCCATTGGGGGGCTTCCATTCCACAGTCCAGGGATGTACCAGTTTCCAGTGTCGGGGTCATAGTCCATGACATCAGTGAAGCTCTTATTCTCTTCTTTTTTCTCCATCTTAGCTGCAGCTTGAGTCCTCTCATTTAACTGCTGCAAGAGCAGTTCTCTGTCTCTGAGGTTCTTGTCATGAGCTGAAACATCTGAAACATTCTGGTGAACAAACTGACATCTGGGTATTTTACCCACTTCTTTCATTCGGAGGAAAGCGTGCACAACTATCTGCAGGATGTCTTTCATGTCTGTAGAATTCTCCATAGCAATATTGATGATGGTGATGTCACTCAATCCAACCACAAGGGTTGCTAACTCGTTGTCGTGTTCGTGACTATCGTCCAGTTGAGCGAGTTCTGGAGACTTGAGGCCCTCGGTGTCGATGATCACTAAGAAGTCGCAGTTGAGAGAAGCTTTCATATCTTTACTGACTCTGATGAGTAACATAAAGGCGCCTCTCGTGCATCGGCCACTGCTCACTGCAAACTGCACTCCAAACATGGTGTTGAGGAGAGTGGACTTCCCTGTGCTCTGGACTCCGAGCACTGTGATCACCCGAATCTTGTTGTTAGGAGACACCAGTTCATGGAGCTGGGTCAGAACATCACTCACCCATCTGAGAGGGATGTTGGAGGCATCTCCATCCACCAGCTCCAGAGGAAAACCATCAATCAGAAGCTGTGCACACAGTTTGGGAAGGTGCTGCAGCTGTTGGCGTGAACGGTCTTCTTCTGGAAGAGACAATGAAGCCTCGTAGATTTGACCCATTTCCCTGAAGAAGTGTTCCGTTCCTAGTGAACTGTTGGAGAGTTGTGTGTCTATTGTTTTAATCTCTTCTTTGTTTCCTGAATCATTGCATTTTCTTTTATATTGCTCCCTGAGGTCTGACAACTTTTCATGAGAAAGGTTATCAAGGTTTATCCGAAGCCATTTCAAAAAGAAGGACCTTTCGATCCCAGGGCTTGATATCGCGCTGATGAAACAGGCCATTGCTTCTCTTATGTTACGAGAATTCTGTTCTTTTCTAATCTTTTGTTTTTGTGTTTGGAGAGAACTTTTGTAATGTTCAGTGCTTTCAGTTCCTACTTTCCTGAGCCTACACTCTTCTTTTTCAATAGAAGTCAGCTCTTTCCACAATCGTCCCTGCAGGGGCAGCTGCTTTTCTTTGAATTCAAGTATGTCTGCAATTTCAGAAGTTAAATGATCTGCATTTGTTTTGGCCCTCTGACATTCAGGTTGGTTTTCATCAATATGTATTCCCAAATTAAATGAAGTGTCAACCATTTTCACAATAGGTGTTTTAGTTGTCGTCTTCCTAATAACATCAGTGACAGATTTTCTTAATTCCTTGACAAAGGCTGCATCATTGTTAGTTTTTTTTTTCAGGAGGATTCTACTCTTACTCAAACCAAGACTAGAAGCTACTGTTTCTATATGCTCTTTGTTAAACTGTTTGTTTTTCTCATCAACCACTAAGAAGATATTTTCTTTGTCTGTTTGGCTTGTTTGTTTCAGCAGGTTAGGATCAAAATCAAAATTGTCAAAAAAAATAAAAACAGCGGAAGACGTATGACAAAGAAAAGCATACTGTGTTTCAAAGTTAGTAATATCCCCACGGAGGTTAACGACTGCCACTGGTTCATCAAAGATGTCAATGTTTTTTTTTCCACAGGGAAGATACCAAGTAAGTTCAGCGAGTCCATTAGAGATTATTCTCGGGTTGTCACCACACTGCATGTTGCGGTGCACAAAGGTGTCGTGGTATTGCTGGGACTCCCAGTTGCTCAGGAGTTTGTTTAGAATCTCAGACTTGGACAAAGAGCATTCACCAAGTCTCACGAACGAGATCATTGGGATTTCAAAGTTTACGACACGTTCTTCTTTGAAGCCCTTGGATTCAGAGAGAGATTTAGGTCTGTACTTTTTGACAATGTCTCTCAGAGCCCACAGCATCAGTGTGCAATTGTTTGTGTCACAGTTTGGAAGCAGCAGAGGAACAGCAAACTGACACATGGACATTTTGAGTGACAGTTCCTGCTGCACAAAGCTATCAGAGCACAGAAACAGAGCTGTTATTATGTCGAGAGGGTTCAGTGTATCTGAATCAGCAATAACAAGATCATCATGGGTGGTCTCTGTGCTTGAGTCGTCACTGTCTGAGTCGCTCACTGAGTCATGGTCGTAGTTTCTCGCTGTTACATTTGCCATCTTAAGTCTTTTTATAAAATACCAGACTGCATCCGTCTTAGACCTGACAGGTTCGTCTGTTGTAGCCTTGACATCAATCTGGAGAATTTCTGTCAACGATAACTTGTCTTTGTAATGACGGATCAGCTGCAATTCTTCCAGAAAACTCTCCAGTTTGGGACCTGAGGAAACACATGGTTACGTTATACTAGTGCTGTACTGCTTGTAAAGTGTGGGATCTAAAGTTAAACGTTTTTCAAATGAATCACACAAAAATGCAGAAACAATAAAACTTTAGGCCAACTGGAATGAGTAAAATCTATGTAGGAGAGATTTATAATAATAATAATAATAATAATAATGCATCGGTTTTATATAGAATTTTTTTGGACGCTCAAAGATGCTTCACATGTGATTATCCTTTCACTCCATACACGGTGGTGATAAACTACTTATGTAGCCACAGCTGCGTCAGGGCACACTGTCAGAAGTAGGGATGTAAAAAACTATGAATTTTCATGACCGACCACAGAGCCTCATTAACTGGTTGAAACCGGTTAACCGCGTAGTTTAAAATATCCCAGGTTCTTTGAAATAACAGCCATTTCGAGCCGCGTACTTTTCATATGCGTTCTACTGGATCAGAGCTAAGACAGCGGCGCCAAAACCCGCAACAGCTTCGGCACCTTTGCGCACAGATAACTGATTTTTTTTTAATCTTCCCATTCTGCTGTGCTGCGGGTTAAAGCATTTTTAAGCAAAAGACGGCTCGTTCACATGGTCAGAGCAGCGAGTGACGAGCCGCGTCTCGCAGGTCTGCGCTAAAGTTTAAATAATGCTTTAAATGCTTGCTTTGATGCCAAGGACCAGCAGCAAACATGTTCCATATGGTTTGATTGGAGCCGCGTATTTGCGAGGATCCTTTGGGCTGTGTGACACAGAGGAGCGCAACAGACCGGTGTGTATGTATCTGTATGTTTGTGTGTAAATGTATGTGCGTACATGTATGTGTGTGTAAATGTAAGCTCCAATGTGGTTCTAACCTGCAACTTTGGTGGACTAGTAACAGAGGGGAGAGAGAATGCGTGTGGATGTTACGTATCAATGGAGGGGGGGAAATGTGTGTGCATGTGTGGCGCGTGTGGCATGAGAGTCGGCCCGGAGTTTACTGATACATTGCAGCACACAGCTAGAGACGGACCCGCTCATCACATTGCACAAATAGGGCTTAAAATAGCATTATTAAGAGACCTCCCTTCTCCTCCTTTTCTTTTTTTAACCGACAGCTTTGACCGGTTAACACTGTGACGGTCAACCACCGGTTAAACGGTCACGGATTTACATCCCTATTCTGTACCTTAATACATTCTTATTTTTCGCAGCCCTAATATCCTTTCTTGCTGCTGTCTTTGTACCTCTGTCTATGACACCATGACTGTGATCTGGACATATCAGTGTGTTCCTACTGCGTTGTTGAAAAGGACCAATCACTTACTTGTGTGAGTGGAGGTCTCTGCAGCCTCACTCTGGAGCCTCTGGAGCTGTGCACACACAGAGAACAGGTACTGCTGTCCCGGCCTCAGGTCTCTGATGGTCACACTGGTTTCCTCAGTTTGGAATTCTTGTACCACATCTTCTCCACTGGAACAGGTCACTGAGTAGTTCTGCACTTCACCAGCAGGGGGCTCCCAGGACAGAGTCACACTGTCAGCTCTGATGTCACTCACTGTGAACGCTCCTGGCTGACCAGGCCCTGAACAGAAAGAAGAAAAAAAACTGACAATGAAAATGTATTCTTTATGTTTTATTCATCCAATAGTAGTGTAGGGGAGGTAGGACTGAGACCGCTGCAGCGAGTGGCGCTAGGACCGCTGCTCTATCAGGAGACGGTGAAATACGTGTGAGTCACTATTATAACTTTCTTATATGTTCAGCCATGTAGATTGATCATTAAAATGAAACGAGTCATTTCTAAAAGTTATCACATTTATACAGTGACGTGCGGTCAGACTTGGTCACTATATCAAGTGATTTATGTTATTGTTGGGGCTGGTTTCACCAACAATAGATACAATCTGGTCCGTATTCAGTGTGATTCCTACAGCTTCTGGGCTCTTTGTCGCTTCACACTCCTTTTGTTAAGTTTTCACGCCCCTGGTTAGAATGTACAAGGTCAGCCCAAAAGGAAGGGGAAACACACAAACGGCTGCCCTTGTGGAAGAACATTGAATGTTACTTTTGTTACTAACAAGATGAAGATGCACAGTTGATGAGTCACCGCTTCTCAGAAAACGTGGCCTTCCCAGAACAGTACACATTTATATTACTGCAAGGACTGTAAGAATATAAGGAGTGCTTTATATAAACACTCGCACATTAGGTTATACCTGTGCAACACAAATGCTTAAAAACCAAGCAATGATAAAACATAATGATTATACAATTATTCCAACAGTTATTGTATTATTTTCATGTAACTTTGCCTTATTTCATTTATTTTTACCTTGAAATCGCAGATTTTTGTCATATTTTCCCATTTTTGACAGAGCGGTGCGCTGTGAGGCGAGCCTCACTTGAGATACGTAAATGCCTGTAGTTCACAGAGGCAGGAGCCCGTGCGCTGCTATCAAACAGTTTTCTCTGTTTATCACGGTTTATAAACTTCAAACATTTCTACATGTCTAAAATTGAAGGGATAGGTCATAAATTGTGTTTTTAAAACAAATATGGGTTTTAATCGTGCTCAACCACGGCTTGTAATGTCACCAAATGAGGCCAGCCTCAGGGGGGCGCATGTGAGCCCAGAATTCAGCTGCATCCAATTCCATCAGAAAGCTCCTTTCTTGTTCTTGTATCTGCTAAGGGCAGCAACAGGTTTGGCTAAAATACTTATAACACATTTTAATATGATTTAAAATTAAAGCAGAAGTAAGCAATTTTTGGGTGTTAATATACGTCTTAAATATTGATATATTCCAATAGCCATCACTTATATAGAGTGTTTGTACCTAAACACGGATCTCTCAGTCCTTCCAGTCTTCTCCCTCTCTTTATTTAAGAAAACCTCGTATCCTATAGTTTAATCCAATCAAGAGAGAGAACCAAAAAAGGGGGTTTCTCTCTCTGCGTGCACGCGCACTCTTCAAAACAAACATGGCGGAGAAGGAAAAGCCGCCTCCAGCGCTGCTGCAGACTAAATACCATGGATCTATTAAATACAGTCAAAACGCCAGAAACAGAGGAAGGACAGAAAGTAGGAGCAACATGGTGACCAGTGCATTCATGTTGGCGACCTCTAGCTCCGTGGATTACGCATGGATGTAAAAACCCACCAGCGCACTTTCAGAGCAGCAGATTACATTTACAAACGCACCCACTGAATATAGCGTTCTATCACGCTGTATTGTTTGTTGTTCTGTGTAGTGTTGTCATTGACGACACATAGCGTTACTTACAAGTGTGTTGCGGCATCTGTGTATCATACAGCTGTGTATCATACAGCTGTGTATCATACAGCTGTGTATCATACAGCTGCGGCCGTTCACTCCGCACACACAGAACTCACTGCAACACATCACTACCATGTATGCCTCCGCCCTCCAGCCGGGCCTGTGTTCATATCAGTGCGCGGGACTATATACTACGCTAAAACATTGTTATGGGAGGTAAAAAAAACAAAAAGTTGGGCTTGAAAATTCAGAAACCATATCGGGCCAGGGCCGGGCTTGGGCCCAGATAATAGGCCCGTGCAGGGCTCTAATGTATAAGGATCCTGTGAATCAGGGTCCACTCCTGGTGATCAATAAATACTCATGTTGATGATGAATATATCAAAGTCATATTTGAGTAGATAAAACTGATGTCTCCTCTTATGTTTCAAAGGAAAATCTCTGCCAGAGGAAGACTCCAGTTCCTTCAACCTGGGCCCCTGAAGCGTGGCTGTGGCTGTGTGTGTGTGTGTGACTGTGTGTGCGTGTGACTGTGTGTGCGTGTGACTGTAAGTAAGTAAGTAATCTTTATTTATATACCGCCTTTTCACTGCAGATCTGAGTCTCAAAGCAGTTTACAATTGTTATTTTTTGGGCATTTGTCTCTCACTCCACACAGAGATGGGAGCGGGGCCAGTACAGGAGGCACATGCCAGAACTATTGGACATATTTTTAGTGGTAGGGGAAACCGGAGTACCCGGAGGAAACCTACGCAGACACAGGGAGAACATGCAAACTCCACTCAGAAAGGCCCTGGTCCGACCGGGATTCGAACCCAGGACCTTCTTGCTGAGAGGCGAGAGTGCTATCCACTCAGCCACCGTGCCACCACGTGACTGTGTGTGCGTGTGACTGTGTGTGCGTGTGGCTGTGTGTGCGTGTGACTGTCTGTGCTTGTGGCTGTGTGTGCGTGTGACTGTCTGTACTTGTGGCTGTGTGTGCGTGTGCGTGTGGCTGTGTGTGTGTGTGACTGTGTGTGCGTGTGACTGTGTGTGCGTGTGGCTGTGTGTGCGTGTGACTGTCTGTGCTTGTGGCTGTGTGTGCGTGTGACTGTGTGTGCGTGTGGCTGTGTGTGGCTGTGTGTGCGTGTGACTGTGTGTGCGTGTGACTGTCTGTGCTTGTGGCTGTGTGTGCGTGTGGCTGTGTGTGCTTGTGGCTGTGTGTGTGTGTGGCTGTGTGTGTGTGTGACTGTGTGTGCGTGTGTCTGTGTGTGTGCGTGTGACTGTGTGTGCGTGTGGCTGTGTGTGTGCGTGACTGTGTGTGTGTGTTTGACTGTGTGCGTGTGGCTGTGTGTGCGTATGACTGTGTGTGCGTGTGACTGTGTGTGCGTGTGGCTGTGTGTGCGTGTGACTGTGTGTGCGTGTGGCTGTGTGTGACTGTGTGTGCGTGTGACTGTGTGTGCGTGTGACTGTGTGTGCTGTGTGTGCGTGTGGCTGTGTGTGCGTGTGGCTGTGTGTGTGCGTGTGACTGTGTGTGTGTGACTGTGTGTGCGTGTGACTGTGTGTGCGTGTGCTGTGTGTGCGTATGACTGTGTGTGCGTGTGGCTGTGTGTGCGTGTGGCTGTGTGTGCTGTGTGTGCTTGTGGCTGTGTGTGCGTGTGACTGTGTGTGCGTGTGACTGTGTGTGCGTGTGACTGTGTGTGCGTGTGACTGTGTGTGCGTGTGACTGTGTGTGCGTGTGACTGTGTGTGCGTGTGGCTGTGTGTGCGTGTGACTGTGTGTGCGTGTGACTGTGTGTGCGTGTGGCTGTGTGTGCGTGTGGCTGTGTGTGCGTGTGGCTGTGTGTGCGTGTGACTGTGTGTGCGTGTGACTGTGTGTGCGTGTGACTGTGTGTGCGTGTGACTGTGTGTGCGTGTGACTGTGTGTGCGTGTGGCTGTGTGTGTGTGTGTGTGACTGTGTGTGCGTGTGGCTGTGTGTGCGTGTGACTGTGTGTGCGTGTGACTGTGTGTGCGTGTGGCTGTGTGTGCGTGTGACTGTGTGTGCGTGTGGCTGTGTGTGCGTGTGACTGTGTGTGCGTGTGGCTGTGTGTGCGTGTGGCTGTGTGTGCGTGTGACTGTGTGTGCGTGTGACTGTGTGTGCGTGTGGCTGTGTGTGCGTGTGACTGTGTGTGCGTGTGACTGTGTGTGCGTGTGGCTGTGTGTGCTTGTGTGCGTGTGTGCGTGTGGCTGTGTGTGCTTGTGGCTGTGTGTGCGTGTGTGCGTGTGGCTGTGTGTGCGTTTGTGCGTGTGGCTGTGTGTGCTTGTGGCTGTGTGTGCGTGTGACTGTCTGTGCGTGTGACTGTGTGTGCGTGTGGCTGTGTGTGCGTGTGACTGTGTGTGCGTGTGACTGTGTGTGCGTGTGGCTGTGTGTGCGTGTGACTGTGTGTGCGTGTGACTGTGTGTGCGTGTGACTGTGTGTGCTTGTGGCTGTGTGTGCTTGTGGCTGTGTGTGTGTGGCTGCTTTTGAATTATTTTGAGGAAATGTATTCAAACAAGCTACAACATAAAGATGAACATTTTGTTGGATATCTCTGATAGTACGGAAGAGCATTGTTGTCACTTAAAAAAAAAAAAAGATTGTAAAAAAAAAAAAAAAAAAAAGATCTCATAATTATGAGATAATTATCTCGTAATTATGAGATAATTATCTTGTAATTATGAGATAATTATCTCGTAATTATGAGATGATTATCTCGTAATTATGACATATTATCTCATAATTATGAGATTTAAAAAAATAACAAACAACAGAGACACTGACTCAGTGGTGATGATGGGGCTTTTTGATTTACTGCACTTTTATCATCTAATTGGATTAAAACATAAGGAAATACAGGTTGTTCTTCAAGAAGATGGCTATGACATGAGCTTGTCCACTCTGAGAAGGCGTCTAAGACACTATGGATTGTTTAGGCGCACCGCTTGCACGGACCTCCTTGATGTCGCATTGTTTATACAAGGACAACTGGAACATTACGGCAGGCTTCATGGATACAGGTTAATGCACTTGAAATGTATTCAAGCTGGATTGGTGGTGTCTCAAAGAACAGTGCGCCACCTTATCGGCATTCTTGATCCAGAGGGTGTCGCGCTCAGATCAAGCCGACGTCTCATCAGACGTGTTTATAACAATCCAGGGCCAAATTTCCTATGGCACGTTGACGGCTATGACAAATTGAAACCATACGGGATATGCATCAACGGGGCAGTGGACGGTTTCTCTCGAATGGTAATCTGGTTGCATGCCTTCTCAACCAACAGCGACCCCAAAGTTGTGGCTGGATACTTCATGAATGAAGTGAATCAGATGCAAGGGACCCCTGCGAGAATTAGGACAGACTTGGGTACAGAGAACGGTGTCATGGGCGAGCTGCAGAGATTTTTGCGGAGTAACCATGATGACAATTATTCTGAAAACTGCTACATTACTGGGTCTAGTAACCACAACCAAAGGATCAAGCAGTGGTGGGGCTTCTTACGAAAGCAGCATGCCCAATATTGGATGGATGCTTTTCATCTTTTGAAAGACCGTGATCAGTACTCTGGGGACTTCCTTGACAAGAATCTAATTCAGTTCACATGCCTGGAAATCATAGAGGTAGATCAAATGCACACACGCACGCGCATATATAGGACACACACCACAAAGGTCAACAAAAACAGTTATTCATATCTATCCACTTCAACAGTCAAAGTACACCATCTAGTGGCCACTCCCCTACACATGTTTATGTACACATGTGGATGTATAAAAGTGTATACATACATATATGTATATTTATATTAACATACATTGAAGTATATATACGTATATTTGATCAGTATTGCTTCTGTAGTGCTTTATTTCATTTAATTCATTGATTTGCTTTTCCAGAGAGAACTTCAGGAAGTTTCTCGTCTCTGGAACACTCACACTATCCGGCGCTCTCGAAATGCTGTCAGTCCACCTGGAAAGCCTATCGTTATGAGTAGATAGTATAGGTACCAGTATTGAGCAAGTGGTGAAAAGGTGGTACTGCACCCTAAAACTCCTCAGAATAGGGGCGGCGCTCTTGAGCAAGTGGTGAAAAAGTGTTACTGCACTGTTTTTTTTTTTTTTCAAAGAGTTTTAATGAGTTAGCTTCTGTTGACCCTGTGTGTGTGTGATAAAGTAAATGTTTCACAGTTGTCTAAAGTGATTTATGATCACGGTTTATCATAGCACATGTTTATTCTAAAACAAACAGTTAGGAAGACGTGTTAATAGCTAAGCTGTAGGGGAGGACCTGTTAACGACACTTAGGTGTGTGTGTGTGATAGTGTTATCATGATGAACGGTTGGGAGGGAGTACTAACAACAAATCAGAATGGGTGGGAGGTCTGTTTACACCGTCCTATCAGAAGTTTTTCAATGGTTCAAACGCATTACGGCTGTCTAAGAGAAGGTTATGCAATATGTCTAATACAGGTAAGTTATTAATATAACATTTTTCAGTATTCATATTAAATGTTTTAATTTAGTTTATCTCTAGGAAAGGGTCGTTTATTGACACATTATAACACCGATGAAGATTTAACCCCAACATCAAAAGTTACGAGAGGTCTACAGCCAACGGATGAAATATGGTAAGATCTCATTTTTCCTTAATGTCTTAATCAGATGTTTAATACTTTATTTCATTTTATACAGCACAGGTAAATTAAACACCAAGTCAATGCCCCTGATGCATAAATTAAGACAAGTAAATCAACATAAAGCTCCGTAAGTCCGTACATATACTAACTTATATAAAAAGCTTTATGAGAGGTATAATTTTTTTTTTCTTTAGAGCAATTCTAGCACATTGTAACGGACACAAAATAACTAATCACGGGGATGATGATGATGATGATGATGATAAAAGGTGAGTTACATATTATAATTTTTATAATGATAGAGGTTATAATTTTCTTCTCACTATTTTTTTAGCTCATCAGTTGGTGACGAAGCCGCAGAGAATCAACCCTCTGTAAACCACCATTTCAACATAATCGATTTTATAACGACACTGGACATTGATGCCATTATACGCGATGAAGGTATACCAAACAACGATCAAGATGTATTAAACGCAGGATCACCATTCCCGGACCGTGAGGAATACTTTGAACCAATATCTGGACACACTACAGCAGCTCCTGATGCAGCAAAAGGGCCTATAAAGAATGCTTTAACACCGAAGGTGAATACTTTACAAGAAAACACACATCTGTTAAACACCACTAGTGAAAAAACGTTTGTGAAAACAGAGCTCTCCAACATACGCGAGGAATTGAAGTCAAGCAAGGCACGTTGTGTTAGTGCAGAGATACATACAGACAGGTGTCTAGCAACTGTGAACCAGCAAGTAAAATACAGCGAGGCCCGTGTACTTAACGAAATAGATCAGTTAAAGATTCAAGTTCACCATCTTCAAACAGAGCACGTAAAAGTTACTAAACAAGTGTTGGTGTTGCAAAATCAGCGTACAAACGCAACTATACACAGAGCTAAACTCCGTGCAAGGGGTCAACGAGCCCAACTACAGACACGCGCGCTTCAGAGAGAGGTCCTACAATTACAAACACAATACACGAAAGCCGCTATACACAACCGGGAATTAGAAACAAAAACCTTACAGGGGGAAATACAAATTCAAAATTTGACTACAGAAATCAAACATCTTAAAAACACTGGAAACGCAATAGCTGATAGAATTGAACAAGTGGATAACCAAGCGAGCACGTCTATAGCGGCTGCTATAGAGCAAATCAATGAAAACACTACTCATTTGAAAGCCATCGAAAATGCATACGATCATGAAGCACAGTAAAAGGCCTAACGCTACCTCACCCTCTCAACTTACTAAAAAAATAAGAATTAATTATGGCCAGCGCTCTAACACTTATACATGTGTGGAACGTTTAATTCGTACTAATTATCAAACAACACGTAACACAGATAGTTTAATTCGTACTAATTATCAAACAACACGTAACACGTATCCGTGTATTGATCGACTAATTCGTACAAATCATCAAAGTACGTCCCATGCTGCAGAACGGTTAACAGCACCGACCCATGTCATAGCTGAAAGGCCTCCGCTATCAGACATTACCTCAAATGCTGATAATGTTGTTAACCAGTCAATAAGTAAAGATACTATTCAACCCACAATACAACGCCCAGCAAACAACTGTGTGGGTATAAATAGTCAAACTATAGAAATGGATACACAAAATGACGAGTCACCTAGACACAGCTCTGTTTTAAGTCGACACAACAATGTTACAACTGTTTCAAGAAATTGTATAGTTCACACAGAGGCAGACCCACGGGGGGACAATGCTAATGAACTAGGGGGTAACGATACCATACAAGTGGGGGGTGTTGTACAGATTACTGAACAAAGTGATATCCCCGTTAACGTACAATCAGGTGGGGAGGTTCATGTTAACGTAATACCAGAGTTTCATACCACGGTAATGTCTGAGCACATTGATTTTCGAGGTATAGATCCTACAGATACCGTAAAGGCTTGTGAAAGAGTAAATGAAAAATTAACAGGGTTAATAACACACGCTGTAAACAATACAGAGCAAGGATGTGTGATGAATGTTGCATTACGAGGGCCCTTGCTTAGTGACGATATTCAAGTTATTTTGAACTCTGACAATGACTACAACGTTGACCATTTTTTAGAGGAAGTGGAAAAAGTGTTACAAAGTAACAATAAGTCCATTATAGAAGATGAAATGACATTAATAGTGAGTATAGCACATTCACAAAGTGGTGGTGGTAAACGTCTCAAGCTTGGTGCAGTAGCATACGATACAATATTGCTAAAGAAAGGTAAATTTCTTTATAACCCTCACAATACCGAAAATGCATTGTGTTTTGCCATGTGTATAGCTCATGCATTTCATGCGAACTATACCCATAGTAAAATACTCGATAAAGCCAAAGAGTGGCAAGCCGCAGTTGGTCTGGATCAACAAACAAACGTGACACTGAATGATGTGTCAAAGTTTGAGAATCTGTTGAACATAAAAATTGTTGTTTTTCACAACAATCCACCGACTAAACGTCTTCAATCATTTGAAACACAGGATAGAATGCACGAATGCACAATAGCCTTATACCTTTATGAGAATCATTACTATCATATCAAAAATAAAACGGGGTTCTTTGGGAGTCCATATGTGTGCAAATACTGTCTCAAGCCATACGGTGCTAGTTTGCATCACCTCTGTAAATACCTATGTAACATCTGTTACACACAATGTGAAACCGTAGGGAAAAACAAAACAATTAAATGTCCTGAGTGTAAACGCATCTGTAAATCTTCCCACTGCTTTAATCAGCATAAACTTCCTGACCCCGTCCACGATAGAATACCTTGCTTTTCTGTGACATATTGTGAAGAATGTAAACATCTGTATATCACAACACAGCTAAAAAACACGTGTGTAAAATTCCAATATGCATCCACTGTGATGCCGAGCTCCCTGAAGGTGCTGAAAAGCACCATAGCTGTTACATCAAACCTTTAAAAGTGGTTCAAGAGACAACCAACTACATTTTTTATGATTTTGAGACAAGGTACGATGGTAACAAGCATGTCCCCGTGTTAGTCTGTACGCTTGACCAAGACGGTGATAAATATAACTTCGCACACGATGGTTGTGTTAAACGAATGTTGAAATATTTTAGAACACCAAAGTTTCATGATTACACATTCATAGCACACAATGCAGCGGCTTTTGACAATTATTTAATACTTGAAGAGTTCGCGAGACAGGGGCTAACCCCTAGTCTCACTGTGAGAGGCACGCGTGTGCTCAGCATGTATGACAAGCGACTTAGGCAAAGATGGCTGGACTCGATCAGTTTTCTACCAATGCGTTTAGCACGTATACCTGAAGCATTAGGGTTTGATGACCTAGAAAA